ATTTGCAGCTCTAGCAGGAGATGGCAGTAGCTGAAAAGGTTTGCTTCCTCAATGCAGAACAGCACAACGGAGATGAAACAGATGGCCAGGCTGTTTCAAAGTGGTCAGCAGAATAGTGGATGGCTAATCCCATAAGAATTCACCACTCATCTCTGTGGCATCTGACTTCCCTTTCTACAAATCAGTTTGTCTGGTTTTTCCAGCTGCTTTGGAACACGGTCAGAGATGAACTGGAGGCACATGCCCCAGGGAACACATTTGCACTAATTGAAAAGGAGGACGGTGTGATCTGGTAGAAGGGGAGAGAGCTCAGATCCACTCTCAGCCTGTCTTGTTATGGTTCAATAATAAGTTGAATCTGGCAGGGAAGAAATGGTGTCTGCGGTCTGATTTCTGAGTCTGTAGTCCTCCTCTGGCTGAACTGGTGAATTGCAGCTCTGATTGCCTATTATTATTGCCTCTCAGAAAACTATATTCACACCCCAACTAGGGTAACGAAAGAGGTGCTGAGGCTCAAGCAATTTTTTTAGATTCATAATTTATGCAGAGCTATGAACTGCAAAGCCTACAGGCACCAGGCAGTGCTATCCCTAGGGAGGTGCAGGGCCCTGGACAATCCCTCCCCCCCATACCCCAGGCTCCATGCCTGCCACGCACACCCCTGCAGAAATTGGCCCAATAAAAGGTATTACCTCACCCACCTTGTCCCCTTAAAATGGTATTTAGCATTATTCTGGCCTAATGCATCAAAACTCCTCCTGTCACTAAGACCCTCATTTTCAAAGGGATGGCCTAGAAATGCCAATAGGCACCTAAGTCCGTGTAAGTATCAATGACATGTTCAGTGGTATAGCTCAGACGCCACCTCAACTGCTCCTGTGCCAGGTACCTAAATTTGCTTCTGATGCTCAGAGCCCTGTAGGGCCCGAGCCAGGACCAGAAGTCTTCTCACACAAGGCAGGAGAAATGTTTCTCTCAGCAGAGGTGGCTGGTATCTGTCAGGAGAAGGGCCTGAAATAGACCGACAGATGGAGGGGCAGTACAGCATCTGCACAAGAGAAGGCTGGAGGCTTAAGCACAGGGGTGCTGGAATAAGTGAGGTGGGAGACACAGTCCTCCCAGCAATAAGAGCAAGCAATGGAGGCAAAGGGGCTGGAACTAGGGGTGCTGCTGCATGCCTTGGCATAGTTGCCATCAGGTACAAGGGTTACAGTTTGGTTCAATGGCTCTCAGCATCTCCCCATACAAATTGTTGCAGCATCTCTAGGCAGAGTGGAGCCTCTGAGGAGCACAGGGCCATGGCTCAGTTAGGGTGACCAGGTGTCTGGTTTTTACCCAAAAACCCATTCGAAAAGGGATCCTGGATGCTCCAGTCAGCATTGCTGATCGGGCTGTTGCCTGGTTCCCTGCTAGCCTCCATGTTGTGCAGCTCCTGGGAACTTCAAAAGTGACTGGCGATGCTGAGAGCATACATTTAAACATCTCATAGGCTATGTCTACACGTTTTTTTTTGGCAGAAAATATGCTAATGAGTCACATCATTAGCATATTTTCTGCTGTTTCTTTTTGTGCAAGGGGTTTTTGCACAAAAAGAAGCAATGTAGCTGCTTCCGTTTTGCGCAAGATCCTTATGCACAGTTCTTGCAGGCTCATTGTAGTTTATAGCCTAACTGACGAAAAGTGAGTCAAGGTGAACCAGGAGCTGTCATAATCACCTGGTATATAAAACTATTTAAGAAAAGATGTTCGGAGACAGGACTGACTTAATTTATACACAAAGCTAAAACTATTTAAGAAAAGATGTTCGGAGACAGGACTGACAATTTATACACCAAGGGTTTTACTGATGCCACTCAAAGAGAGTGTTAAGATAACTAGAAGGTAAGAGGCACAGAAAACCGGAAATAATGGACCAGCATCAGAGCTTTGGAAATGAAGCCTCGTTGGCAAACTAATGAGAAGCGGGACCATTTCATCCACCGCCCTTTGTAGGGAGAAAAATCGAACTTTTAAAATGTCTGCAGCTGAGGTGCAAGGACTGTTGCCATGACAACAGGCTTTGACATTCCACTATGGATGCTTGACCACTATTGCTGCACCAGTGAGGACCAGCCTGATACATGTTAGATTCTGCTCTGTCTTCCCTTCCCCACTTCTCTTCCTTCAGTTGTGCCTTTTACCTGATGCTGACTTGCGCTACAAGTCACCAGCATGCCGAGCGAGAGGAGACAGCCCATCCACCTCTGCCAGAGGAGGACCAGGAAAGAGGGATGTAATCAGACCAACCAGATGATATCCCTGACCAGGGAAGACAAACCAAAGTTCATAATTACAGCTGTTGTGGCTAGCCCGCCATCTGTCTGTGACTAACCAGTTGTCCTGTATCCTGAGAACAGGAACAGAAACTATATCTCCCCCCCCAATACGTACTACTCTCACTCTTCAGACAAAACATTTTCCTGAAGCAGGAAAATGACTATCAGTTCTGACTCAGAAATGCAGAAACCTAACCCTTTCTTCCCTACCAAGGACTGTTAGAATAAGAGACTAACCAAAATTCACATGCTTTAAAGATACTGAAAGTTTTTGAATAATTGTCCAATTCCTTTTGCCTTGCTTTTGATTTTGTTCCCTTGTCTGTGTTTCAATCAATACAATTCTAACCTTTGGCATTAATGTTAATGTTTGCGCCACAGTACTAAGCAGGCTGAAGTCTCTATATGCCCACCTCTTCTCCTCGTTTAATACTGCTTAGTGTTGAACAATGACATGGTCACGTTAATTGTCTGGTCACATATACTCAATCTAAACTAATAGAACAGTGCACAGAGAATTCTCATTCCTTGGAGGGTCAAAGTGCCCACCCAGCCTGTACCTTTTCCTCACCATTAAACACAAGCAGTTTGGGGTGTTGTCAAGCTAACCTTTCATGAGACTGAAGAGGAGACATCATAGCCACCAGTAAGGTTAGCATGAGATCTCATATTTGTGATGTCCAAGACAGCCAATGTCTCCCTGTAAATCCAGCTGGTGGAGGGGATTCAAATGGAGAGGGCAAATAGTTCTAATTAATCCTTAATAAAATTGATTCCTGACATGATTGGGTACTGATATCAAAAGATTGGTTTGCACATCTGTCATCTTCACAATGATATAATACACCAATGCAACCCAGAGTTTTCTGTGCATGGCTCTCTCCTAGAAGAGTCTCCATCTGCTACTACTAGAGTATTGTAAGACATGACATCAAAAGTAGTTTAGGAAATCAAAAATCCTTTGTCTTGAGGACTTACCCTGAACACCCCTGCCTACCACCAGAACCTTCACGTTGTGTACTCCCAATATTGGCAGTTACCAGTCACCTCTGCTTACCCATGTACTAACATTATATCCAAATCCCCATTACTGAGTTTGAGTGCTGCAATTTAGCACTGTTATAATGAAGAGAGCCACTGTTTCTATGCTAAGTCCTTGGAATGCAAAGTACAATCAGCCCAAGAGCAGTAGAAGCATTTAACTTTTTTAGAGGATGGATTAGTGGCTGAATACTTTACTGAATTTAGAGTTTTTTGCTCCTTCTTGCCAGCAATCCTACCTGCTGCACCTTTAGAGAGATCCCTGGTACATCCTCCCCAAACTGGAGAGCCAGCACACACTGCTTTCCATTATCACATAAGAGACCTATGGAACCCTTCTGACTGATTAGGGAGCAGCATTCTGAACTCTACTAAGGCTAGGTTAAACTAAAGGGGAAGGTCAATTCAAGATTAGTTATGTAGCTGGAGTTGACATACCTTGATTTGAGTTTCCCTGCTGTCCCCACAGTGGGAGGCTGCCAGGAGTAAATGCTCCCATCGGCTTCCCTTATTCTTCACAGGAGCAGGAGTACTGGCCACCGAGAGGGTTGCCCTTGAGTTCGATTTAGTGAGTCTTAATTAGACCCCGCTAAATCAAACTCTGGAAGATCAATCACAGCAGTGTCAATCCTCCGCTAAGCAAAGATGTGGCTTAAGAGTCCATCCAGGCCTGTATGGTTAGAATGACAGTTAATATACTGCCTGGGAGAATTTCCATCTAGAAGGGATAAAGTAGAAACTAGGTCTCTTCTAAAACTTTATTTGTAACCTGTCCCATGGTGGCCAAGTACTGCAATACATGTTTAATTCTAAACCAAAGCACTGTTCAAAATTCCTCAGTACACTAGGCACAGTAGGATGGACTAAAACAATGGAATTTCAATCTAGGCATTCAAATTCCCGTCCTTTAACATTTTTATAACAGTGTGCTTCAATATCTTTGGAACCACTTCTTCCTGACTTTAATGCATCTGCTACACCATTTAGAGCAGGGGTGGGGGCCAGATGTGGTCCCTAGCTTGCCTGGATCTGGTCCCCAAGGCTCAGGAGCCTGCATTAATGCTCTAGCACCCTCCCTGCCCCCCACCGAGGGGCTGGAGCGCACAAAATCTACTAGCCTTCGCCCTCCAATGCTCTGGTGTGCTAGAGGAGTGTCCTTCTCCTTCTCTGTCAGAGGCCATGTCAGTGAGGGTTGGTTGGTTTGCTTCTCACATATGTGCGATGCCTGACTGATTTTTCCGTAGGCCAGTGGTCCCCGACCCAAAAAAGGTGCCCCACCATTGATTTAAAGGATGCCTGATTAAATACTGAGGTCTCTTCACCTACACCTCAATCCCCAAGAAATAGTGATTCTCAGTTATTTTAAATAAGCTAACATGAATCAGGGACTCCATGAAAATCACAATCTTTTCTCAAAGGAAGAAAAGGTGCTGCAATTCCAATACCACAACTAAGAGGTTTTTTCTTTGTCATTAAACAAGTGCACAGAAATACACTTCTCTTTTGTAATGCTCATGAATGGCATTTCAAAATATCTCTCATTCATTTTATATTTTAAATTTTATCTGAACACAGTGAATTTTTAATGGAACTAAATTAATCACCTTCAGTAAATATTTTCACACAACAAGACAGACCACAATGAACTTTAAAACCTCCCTCTTCTGCTTTATTGACAGGTAAATTGTTCAAAAATGTTCTCACAATTCAATAATTACAAAGACTTAGACTTACATTAAAAAAGTAAAAACCAGAAAACCCCAAAAGCAGTAGTGTCCAGCTCTAACAGAGCCCCCTTTATCAATAATCTGAGAAAAAGAGCAAGTACTGTCAAACACTTAATGTAACTGGATTAAATGTTGACTAGAACACTCAATTTAAACTAAAGATAAGTGCACGTCCTATACAGTGTTTCAGAAAAGAACATTAGCCATTGGTATATCATCATTAGCCCATTGAAACCAAATTTTAAATAAGTGACATCCAACTGTCATAAAATTGGCACAGAAGGCACACTAGTGTGACAATGACAAACTGGATATGCCAGCCACTAAATTAAGTACAAGCTTTTCATGAAACATGGTCACAAATCTTTGATTACTAAATGTAATACATGGAAGCATGAGATTAAATATACACGTAAAACATCACCGCTGCACGTGGGCCATAGCAAAATATACAGGAGTGTGTTGTGCATCATTCTCCATGACCAATACTTGATTAAGAATCATGGGGTGTCCATGCATGTGAGGATACAAGTAATGAAAAAGCAGCACCCTTGCTTACACATCCTTCACATTCCACTTTGGTTACCAATAAAATACACTGATGTTTTAATAGGATACAGTCCATTAGTTCAAGCAGTCTTCAAGGGTAGTGTTCCTGCAAGAATGCTTGTTAACTAAAAAATGTAGTGTATTTTTACACTGAAAAACCAAGAGAAACTACATCTCAGAGAGGATAGCAGGAACAAAGAGTAAAATTCATTTTCACAGCATTATTTACTGATGTCTTAAAAGCCCTGACTAATGATCATGAATGATAAGGACTAAAAAGCAGGGTAAAAGTAAAACCTTACTGGTAATAGTCCTACATACAAGAATAAAAAGTTGGTAGAAAGATAGTTATGCAGCTGAACTGTAATGGCTAAATGAGTTAAAAGGCCACAAAACTATCACCAACTTTCATTTGACTTCCTGATTATTCTGTTGATGCTGGGAACAACCTATAGCTTCCTATCATTCTCCTAAAGACTTAGGAAACAGCTACAGGAAAAAAAGAAAAGAATATTTATCTGAGGATGTAACTCAACCTGCTTGTATTTCCTATTCAGAGGTCCAAATTCTGTCTAAAAGGATTTCCTGCTAACGAGACATTACATCATTCTGTAGAAAAATATTTCTGATACGGTTTAGTTGTCACTATCAGTACCACTTCTCTATTTCTTTTTCAGCATAAGAATAAGACTTTTATTGGTGGCCTTTTATCCTTCTATACAATGAAACTGTCATAGATGTGCAGAAATAAAACAAATGAATCAACTGTAACTTAACAGTAATCATTTTTGCATAAAAAGCTTGATCACTATTGTAGTAAAGGATTTTTTTTTCCATTTCAATATTTTGTATCTACAGTCTGGATATATAATTATTTTTGTGCAACACTAGAGATTTAGCAGTCTTGGCACGAGCATCTGAGACAGCATTGCCTTGCTCTCGAATACTCCATGGAGTAGTGAATGATCAAAGCTGGAATGGTGGGAACTGTAGTGTTACGCGTCACAGGTTGACTGATCCAGTCCATCTAGTGTAAGCTGATTCCTATGTGGAGAATTGGGACTTGGGGGACCACTTGGATTTGAGCTGTTAGAGGGAGTAGAGTGTTTGGTTGAATCTGAATCAGGCTGTTAAAGAGAAACAAAAAGGATTCAACTTCTTATTTAAAATACTTTGCACTCAGTAGCTTTCAAAGCACTTTACAAATACAATTAAAGTGCTACATTCACTTTTACATTCATTTGCATTACATTCACAAAATGAGGCAAAGGTAGAAGTGTAGAGCAAAAGTTCACTGAAGTTAATGTGAATATTTCCATTAGTGCTAATAGGCTTTGGCTCAGTCTTCTAAGTGACTTACCAATACCACACAAGTAGTGGTCAAGTCAGGAAAAGAACTCAGGTGTTCCTACAACTACTTTCCTCTCCTCTAGCCACTATAAAGGTTTTCCTGTTGGAAAGTAAAGTTTATATCTAGTCAATGTAATTTAGGATTTTCAGCAAATTTTTCCCAAGAGATTTAAGCGGGAACAAAATAGGATTTATTTGCACACATGGTAAATAAATAATTTCATTCAAATACTTTATCAACACACTGAAGAATAGAAATTATAAAATAGCATATACACTGTCTGCCAACAGCTCATGCAACAGCCCTGGCAGTGTGAGAAGTGTTTTGACTGCATGACAAAATCAGGGAGTTGCCAAATATCAGGCTGGAATTGCACTGAAGAAATAACAAGCATTTACAGGAGACTCCATCCAGTCAATAACTCAGTTAAGACCGCTCTCATCCATGGTCATTTTCCAGACACCCTACTGATTGTTGGAACTCCACCTACAAATTTTGGCTCGCCCTCAGCTGGCTGGCTGGCTAGTTTCCACTATTTTAGTGAGTTGTAACCCTTAACGGTATACAAATCTCATGGCTTATGAAACGTTTCATAGAAAACTGCTACCATCATAGTCAGTTACTGCAGAAAAAAGAATTTAAATTTAGCTCATTGTCTGAAAGGTGACATCCAGGAAGACTGCCATTCACAACCACCAATAATGAGATTATTCTAACAAGATACATGATTGAGTTAACACTGTTGTAAGTCAGCAAGCTATGGGTAAACAATGATATAAAAATGAAGGGTAGTGTTAATATCCTGATTTTGCATGTGTAATAACCTATTACATTGTAAATTTAAATTCCAAGTTAGTAACCAATGTAAGATTTAAGTGAAAATTAAACACTTTTAAAAGCTAAATATATTCAGTATATGCATCTACATGTAACAGCAAACAACTAGAATATGGAATGTGAGGAAGCTCTACAAAGACTACTGCAATATTATAATGAAGTCAAGAAATGTAGGTGGTCAGCACCATTGAAAAATCAGGCCACTTATTAGGATGCCTAAAGTTGAGCCGTCCAAATAAGACTTGTTTTAGAGCAAGTCTCCCAAGGCAACACAAATGAGGAAGATTTGGGATTGGAACGCAGAGTCAAGAACTTTAAAAGTGACTGGGGATTCCGAGTGCATACACTGAAACATCTTAGAGTGTGCTGATTTCAGACAGACATGAGCACCTGCACTCTGAAAATCAAGTCTTTAAAGATTTCTTAAATCAGACACCCAAAATCACAAGTAACTTTGGTTCTGGAGTTTATTTTACAGTCACATTTTCTACTTCACTTGCATAGGGAACATGAAAGTATCTGTACAAAGCTTATAAAAAACCACACTGATGACAATAAAGGAGAAAAATCCTCTTTCACTAGCCTGATGAAAGACACTTGAATTTTATGCTGTTTATACTCAGTCTTCATAGCTGTTGTCACCTTTCAGACAATGAGCTAAATTTACATTCTCTTTTCTGAAGTAACTGACTGTGATGATATCCACTTAAAATCTCTTTCACCTGTAGATGAAAATGGTCACAAACTGCAAAACCTGCAAAAGACAGCATTGCATATTTCAATGAGCCAATTTATCACTCATTTAAAAGGCTGTTCGCAACATTCTCCTCGATCAGTGTGGAAAACTTCAGTGAGGGTGAGACCCAATTGTGTTCAACACTGTTAGCGTGATTGAGTGGCTTCAGGAACACTTCAATGATAGGTCAGCTTCTGACTATAAACGAGACTTAACCATAAGCACTCGCACATCCTTGAATTTGTCTGTCAGAAACATCCCTTCAGTCTTCATAGCTGATGCTGGCTTCACCAATCTGTTATTCAAGGCCTGGTGTGCTAGGTAGAATCCTTGCAGAAGGAAATGCAGAATTCAATCTTCATTAGAATGTTTCCTCACAAGTACCTAAACTTGTGTGGTGAGGAAAGAGACTATATAGCAACAGAACAGTGCCAGCATCATTTAACAATACTTTACCTCCTTGTCTAACTCCTGGTCAGTGTCAGACATACTTCTCAGAGGCATGGCTACTCCCAAATCACCACCACCTGCAGAACAAAGGCATTTTACACCTCATGTTAAAGCAATCTAAGCTTTAAGTTAGAACAGATCTCCTTATTTTCAGTCCTACCTGATGAGGGCCATGAAATGTAGGTTTTGCTTCTCTGCTGCTGCCGTGAAGCTGTGGGGGGACATGCTTTTTCATCTTGGGTGGAAGGCAAGACACTCTGCAGCACAAACCAAACATACCCTTATTCAGTAATGAGTTCTTTCCAATTAAAGCTCCTGTCACATGTAAATTCTAGTATAATTCAACACCCATGTGTTTGGAAACAGTACACAGCACGGTTTGACGACACAAACTCACTGCCCCTACTTGATTAAATCCATAAAGTATCAGAAATATACTCCTTTCAAACAACCTCAATAAAACAGAAGGAAAGGACTGAGCCCCAAAGCAGCCAGCAGAAATTCCTTCCACCTGCTGGAGCCAGGAGTCAGTGGAAGTTGGCAGGCAGCAAACCCTTTTACCAAGGTAGTGACATCACCAATTGCTGTTTTCCTGTCTCCTCCTGCTGGAAGAAAGGGTCCGTTATCCTTGTCTGGGCTAGCAGAGAAGGACGAGAGAGGAAAGCTGGGAATTTCAAAACAGAAGGTATGAAAGATAAAGATGTATCTTTACATCTCACTCTCTTACCTTTGTTTTTTTTTTTAAGAAGTTGACATCACAGTATATTTGCTTGCCTTAGTACAAAAATGAAGTACAAAAATAAAGCCATGAACACTGATTGACAAATGTTAGAAAGTCTCACAGGGGTAACCCTATTAGTCTGTCACTTGAAAAACAAGGAGTAGTCCTGTGGCACCTTAGAGACCAACAAAAATACCCATGTTAGCAATTATCTTCCAATGGCGTTAGTTTTTGCTCTAGTATTGATAAAGCACCACAGCACACCATTCCAGTTCCTAAAGGTTTATTTGATAGCTACTCCTACCCTTGCTAAGGAGGCAGAGGAGGGACAGGAAGAGGAAGAAAGCAGAGGAGAGCCTTGCAGTGAGGAATGGCCATTCTGAAGAAAGGTTTCTGCAGAGATAGGGCTCATGTGATAGACGTGCTCAAAACTTGTTGGAGGTGATATCAGAGCAGAGTGACGAGAGGATGAGGGGGAAGGAAATTCATTCTGTTATTTTAACAAAACAAACAAGAAAGAGGAAGGGGGGGAGACTGATTATTTACAAAATATTATCAAACTGCTGGCACTGACATTTTCTTTCTTTCTCTCAGCTTCCCATTTTAAAGATAGTTAACACTTCCTTGTATAAGACTCAAAGCACTATGCATTTCAGGAGCTTGAAAGTGACTAACAGCTCTGAAAGATTTTAAATGTAATGCTAAAACCTTACACAGTCCAGCTGCATAGATTTTCAGTGCTAAACTGAACACACATGTATCCTTCCTCATTATATTTATTTTACCAGTGGGAGATCCATGAGAACTTGCATTCCATCTCCTGGTCCCATATGAGCCACATGGTTGAAATTTGTTGGGTTAGAAATCATTTTTGATCGTAGTTCAGGGTCTCTCAGCATCTCTCTGAAAGAGGAACACTTCATGATTAGCACTGTTTCACATTCATAGCTTCTCCACTTCAATATGTACAAATCGCTAGGTAGCAATATTAAAACCCTTACCGCCTTTGTTGCAATCTCTCTTCTTCAGGAACCTTGAAGACAAATCTTCTTTTACTTCTGGTTCGAAGCATTTGCTTTTTGCTGTTATCAGATGTTTCTGGCACACTGAGAACGGCTCCTACTGTAACACAAAGCAATTATACTTGTACACACCTTCAAATAGTAAAATTTATTTTCCAAGGCGTGTTGACTTTGTAAAACATGTACTACATTTTTTAAACAAAATGGATTCTTAGAATCTAAAATTTTATCTTGTTCATGACTTAGTTACTATTTAAAGCTGATTGGTCATCCCATCCCAATGTCATTATACCATTCCTACCCTCCTTCATGAAGACTAACCTGAACATTTGTTCTTGAAATATATAAGTCGTGGAGGTTCACAATTAAGGAGATTCAGTGTGCCCTCCATATTTAATGGTCTGATCTGTTTTGGAGGTAAAGAGGGAGAAAATTAACCTAGCTGTAGTGCACACTGTAAAGGAGCCTCTATTCCAAATCATAGTTAATTCAACTGTGCAACAGAAGTAAATTACTCACCCTTCGTAGGCCAATTGTCTGAACCCATTCCATAGTGTTAACATCAAAAACATCAACGCCATATTCACTGTACACTGTAACATAGGAAGAATTGCAACCTGGTACAGAACAAACAAAAGTCAAGGAGTGTTCAACAAATCTGGAGTTGACATATATTTGAGCATTGCTTTACCAGTGTTTTGTTTCCCAAGTATGTATGTTTAAGAGGAGATTAAAATATCAAGTTTTTCAAGCCACCTCTTAAAAGACACACACACACACACACACCCCTATCAAATTGAAGTTACTTTTGTGAAAAATAAAGGTCTGTTATGGCACAGAGCCATGAATCTGCAAATTAATTAATTTTGGATACATTTACTAATTTTGACTTCAAGTCTTGGTTTAATATTCTCAAGATGTTGTCTACAGTCTGGACAGCAAGTGTCAAGAATGTAAATAAGTTGTTATATAGGAAATGAACTGCCTTTAACATACTGTTTAAGGCTACCATGTCTGAGGATGCAGCTTAGTGCATTTTGAAAGTGATGCATGATCTATATCTATACACCAAGCACACACAGTAGAGTCCCCCATCTGTGAAATAAGTCATCACATTATGCTTCACATCTAATGTTCATTTCCTTCCTCCATCCAAACAAACGGCTTACATGTGCATGTTGCTCTACCCAGGTAAATGGAACATACTTCAAGAGCTTCAAACTTCACCACTTGTTTTCTCTTTTTTGAGTCATCTAGATTAAGTGTGTCATAGAACTTTAATCGAGCTCAGAAAAGAAAAAAGGGATGATCAGGACATCTTAACAAGCATGTGCCTGCTCCTGACAGAAGTTCCTCAGAAGGAACAACCATTATAATTCACATGGTATTAAGGAGAGGAAAAAGATGTACTCAGCTGTCAGGACTGCCTCAATAAATCAAATGGTAACACTCCTATTAGGGACATAGATTTCAACACACAAGTACATTCCTGCAAGGAAGCAATGTATGCTAACGTAGCTAAAACATGATTTCTCTCAGAGGAAGCCTGGTGTAGCTGGCTATTGTGAATCATGTTTTCAAAAGAAAACCTCATCCAAAATGACTTATTTAGATAAACATCCACTCCACTCAAAGTTAGTGTCCATGTTCCAGTCAATGAACTTGGGATGATAAAGATACTCCAACACAAGACTTATCTTTTTCAGTGAGCAATCCCTTAGGATTGAGCACATTGTTAAGGGAGAAAGAATCTTTTCTAGTTTTATGATCACATGATGGAGTAACTATCAGGAAGGAACAGAAAGACTTCACTAGTAACACACCAAGGCAGGGGTAGTAGGCTAGTAAAAGTAACCAGATTTCCTTAGGTAGTTGAGCTTGAGGTCTTTTCCCCACAACAATCTGTGTCAATGCTAAACAGAATCTAACATGCAAAAGTTATTCTAAAAATGTGTGGAATACTAAACAAACAAAAGGACTCCAACAAAACCAGTGTATCTGTCTGTGAAACAGAATTTTAAAGTAAATTTGCTGATTACATCCCATCCCTGCACTCTGCTCCAAGACCTTAATTGCTAAATCAAGGCAAGCAAATAATTTCTATTCAGAACGATTAAAATAAACAAACTGCTAAGGTCTTGCCATTTGTGGAATTTTACTATCAGCTGTAGCAGCTTGTTGACTGAGTTGTTTAATTCATTATTTAAACAAAAGTTTTTTCTTGGTTTTCAATCCTTTGGAACATACAGTCATTGCTATTGAAGTGCCAAATAATTTTAGGGCTTATAATAAACAATTAGTGCTATAAAGAAAGAGTTCTAAGCCACTATGGTAATTCACCAATCATTTGTGCCTCTTTCAAATCAACACACCTCAATATTACAGCTGGCTGGAAAACATGATACAATTTTGCATATTTTTGTAAGCTTCCTTTGGTTTAAAAAACAACTGATACAAGTTTTATTACCAGCTCTGCAAACAAGCAGTGTTCTTTTTTGAACCCTGCCATCTTCTGAGTAGTAGATGAAAAACTTTGACTTATAGCTTTCGATTCCCTGGATGTGAAATATTATAGAAAGTGGCCTGAAGACAAAAGTTCTTTTAAACCCACTAGCAGAGCAAAAGAATTTAGTAAATAATTGTATAGTTTATGTTGTCTTTAGCCCTCTTTTATCCAGGTTACTCTCTACGGATTCATCTACACAGCAACATTATTTGGAAATAACAATCTGCATCTACACAGCAGGCAGTTATTTTGAAATACTGTCAAGCTGGAGGATTTCTTACTCTGACTCCTGTAATTTTCATTGTATGAGGAGTAAGGGAAGTTGGAGGAAGAAATAACTGCTGTGTAGATGCTTCTGATTTCAAAATAAGCTATGCAACTGACGTAACTCAATTTGTGTAGCTTATTTCGAGTTAAGCCCTGCTGTGTAGATGCACCATAAAACATGAACTTATTTAAAAGAAAATCATCAACTTGCTTTATATATTTTTGTTAATTTTTTTGTGTCTCCTGTGACAAGTAAAAGCTGCCTCCCCCTATAGTAGCCAGGAGTTTTGCATACAATGGTTCTTAATGCTATATGTAGAAGAATTATTATTCTGCTAACCCATCAAAACTGAAAGCTATAGAAATTGAAAGACAAACCAAAGCAAAATAGAATACATGCTGATTATTTTTAGACAAGTAAAGCGGAAACAGGGATATGGCAACAGAAAAACATATACATACTACAGGCAACAGGAGTTGCAGGCCACATTAGTTCCTGCATGCGTGACCTTCGACCTTGTGAATCGACGTATACTCCCATATGGCTGAAGCAAAGCAGGTATTCCTCATTACTGAGCTCCACAGCACAAAGGGCATCAAAAGACTGCTGTGAGAGGAACATAAGCGAGGGGTCATTAGGATTTACCAGGTTTATAGATTGTCCATCTCCCTGGATGTTCAACAGAGAGAACCCAGATTGGTAGCCAACACAGAGCTTGTCCTTGAAAACTGCCATCCACTGTACATTTCCTGGAGCCTGAATTTCAGTGAATTTTTTATGAAAAGGCTTAGTTCTATGAACTTCATAACAAAGAACCTGTCTTTTGACTGCCACAAACAAACAAGTCAAAGAGCTTTTCTTCAGTGTTCCTGTTATAATCAACTGGCAGCCTTTAGTTTCTGGAAGTTTCACATCAAAGTTGCTTTCTGATCCATCCAGGGAGGCCATGGGGTACAGGTGAACATGATGGTTCCTGCCACAGATGAGGATAATAATTTTCTCTTTGGGAGCAAGCTCAATCTGGTACACTTTCTTATAGTCAGCAACTCGTACTATCACTGCAATGAGAACACAATGAGTAAATTATAGTAGTATATGTAGACCTGGAAATATTACATGGCAATGTATACATTAAAAATTCAGAATTATGCACACAGAGCAGAAAGACATATGGCCCTGGCTCCAGACTCTACTTGCCAATTCTTAAATACACAATCAAGAAACAATTCACTTGAGTAGTGCTCCCCATTTTTCAACCATGAAGTCACATTACTCCAGCAACACCGAACAGCAAAACACATACATAAATTCTTTATGATCTCCCTTCAGAGCTTTCACACTCCCCCAAAGCTAGGGAAAAAACAAATATGCCTTGTGTGTGACCATGTGGACCCATTAACAACTCCATCTCCAGAGGGGAAAAAATGGCACCATTAATAACCGAGAGAGATAGGAAAGGGGGAGGGAGGCTGGACAAAAAAAAAAAAAAAAAAAGTTACAAAAAATGCCAAAGATGGGAAAAATCAGAGTACTGTGATGTTAGACAGTAGTTCTTTGACCAAAGTGCAGAAGTAGAATGGTGGAGAAAACTAAAGAATATAAGAGTGAAAAATAAGCCCCCACATAGTAGTGACTGGCTTTAGAAAAACAGTAGTATTTCAAGGTTTAAAGTGTCAAGATCAAGCAATTATGAACTATGAAGCATTAATATATTAATATTTCATGTACATGTTATTTTATAAAACTTGGACTTTTACTTTATTACTCATGAGATATTTAGCTAAATAATATTTAGAAATAGTAAATACTGGTTAAAATAAAAAAATTGATAAAGATATTGAACAGAACTGATCCCAAAACACCCCTGCAGAATCCCACTTGTTATGCCTTTCTAGCAGTATTGTGAACTGTTAATAACTACTCTCTGAGAACCGTTATCCAGCCAGTTATGCAGTCACTTTATAGTATTTCCATCTAAGTTGTATTTGCCTAGTTTATTGATAAGATTATGCAAGACTGTATCAAATGCCTTACTAAAGTGTAGATATACAACATCCACCACTTCTCCCTTTTCCACAAGGCTTGATATCCTATCAAAGAAAGCTATCAGATTGGTTTGACATGATTTGTTCTTTACAAATCCATGCTGACTGTTATCTATCAACTTATTATCTTCCAGGTATTTGCAGATGAATTCCTTAATTACCTGCTCCAATATCTTTTCTGGCACAGAAGTGAAACTAACTGGTCTGTAGTTTCCTGGATTGTTCTTATTTCCCTTTTTATGGATAGGCACTAAATTTGCCCTTTTCCAGTCTTCTGGAATCTTTCCCGTCTTCCATGATTTTTCAAAGGTGATAGCTAAAGGCTCAGATACCTCCTCTATCAGCTCCTTGAGTATTCTAATCATATCTTGCCACATACGAAATAAAAACTTTTGCTTGTTGTCTATATATTTTAATTTTAATGTACATGTAAGCTGTTTACATAGATCCTGGCTAGAGTCATTAGATGTAAGACAATTGTTCTTAAACTTTTTGGCCTGTGGACCACTTGGCTCAATGCAAACCTTTCAAGGGACCACCAGTTGCTAATGGTAACTCACCCTTAATTACATAATTACACCCAAGCCATTTTGCTAGTGCTGTAGCTAGGGAGAATGGCTTAATTTAAATTATTAAACAGATTAAGTGTTTTAACTTTCTTGTGTTAGTTTACCAAACTTCATTTTAAGTAAAGTAAAATATTTAATTTGTGTCCAACAAAATGTTTCAATATTTTCTTTATGGCAGGGGTGGGGAACCTTTATTGAGCTGGGGGCCACTGACCCACAGAAAAATTAGTTGGGGACCACACAAAGCAGCAAAAAAAAAAAACTCCTCCAAAAACCTCCAGCCCTCACTGATGTGGCCCCCAACTGAGACACCTCACTCCTCTGGTACTCTAGCCCCATGGGGCGAGGGGAAGGGATAAGGAGGACTTAGGTTCAGAGCTTCCCATACGCCAGATTTACTTTTCTGGGGTTCCAGAGTTAATGGATTTTGTGGACCCTCACAGGCTCTGGGGTTGGGACAAAAACGAGGGTTTCAGTGTGCAGGACAAGGCTGCAAGCAAGTGGATAGGGATGGCTGAGAAGCCTTAATTGCTTGATTTACAATGCATCTTTGCTCTGCCCGTTGCAGATCTGTGTATCTGCGGAACCTCAAGAATCCTTGTAACTTTGCTTATGTGTGTGTGAAAGGGAATGAATGTATCGAGATAAGGTGCAAAAGTTATATTGCTCAGAACCAGATGGCCAAAGAAAGAGGGTGAGCAAGCGTGGGTGAAGACTAGATGACCTGGCGGCAGAGAAGCCATCTATAACCGTCGATGCGTACTCCTACTCATAAGATGATTGGATACTGGCAGACTGACGAGCCTTGAAGCAAGCGGGCGCCCCCAAAAGACAACTGATTAAGGATGAGCCTTGGAAAATGTTTTGGGAACACTGACATAAAAAAGATAACGTTCCAGTCACAGAATGACAGAGGAATACATTGATTTCAACAGAGAAAAGGATTATAAAAGCAGGGTGCTCTGCTATGGAACTTTGGGTTTGCCTTGCCACTCCAGGAGCAATGGCTCGATCGACCGACAGAGCCCGGCTCCCCTTTGTGTTCGATCTAGCTGGCCACTAGATTGATACAGACTCTGGACTGGAACTATAACATCGTCTGGCAGGACTGTGTATGAATGGTGTTTGTGTGTGTGACTGACTGAAAAGCATATGGAACTGTTGTATTCTCAATAAATGTGGCGTACTGCCTTTTCCCCTATAAAAGATCTCCTGTGCTTCATTTAAGCAGATAACACAGAAGCAGGATGGGAGCAGGGTGTCTGGCCAGGAGGGAGGGAGCAAGGGCAGGTACAGCGTGTGGCCAAGCAGGGTGCAAGAGAAACGGTGGATGCAGAAGCAGAGTGGGGATAGGAGTCCAACGAGGGGAGAGGTGCAGGAGCAAGGGAGGGTGCAGGAGGGGGTTTGGGGTAGGGTGTCTGGCCAAGGTGGAGGATGCAGGAGCAAGGGAGGGTGCAGGAGAAGGCTGGAGGTAGTATGTCTGGCCAGGAGGGAGGGTGCACAGCAGAGGTGGGCAATAATTTTTGATGGGGGCCTCTCTAAGAATTTGGAAAGTGATCAAGAGCTGCACACTTCCATTATTAATGGAGGAGGTGCGGGTGTCTGGAATAGAGGTTGGGTGCAGAAGGGAACTTGAGAAAGTGACTGGGGTGTGGGATCTGGGAGGGAGTTTGGGTGAAGGAAGGGATTGTGCCCTGCGGAAACAGAGTGCGATCAGAAGGGGGTCCAGGGACTGGGAAGGGAGTGTAACCTGGGGTACGGGTGTAGGAGTTTGGGTTGTGACTTGGGACAGAGGATTAGGGTACAGAGTCTGGGAGAGGTATAGGTGCAGGAGAGGATTCAGGCCTGGGGGAGGGGTGTAGGACAGGTACAGGGTCTGGGAAGAGGTTGTAACCTGGAGCAGGAGTGTAGGAGGGGGTTCAGGGATTTGGACTATAACCAGGGACAGTGGATTGGGGTGCAAGGTCTGGGAGGGAATTGGGGCATAGAGGAAATGCAGTGTATGGGAAGGTCTATGGCAGCGTTTCCCAAACTATGGAAAAAAATACCAGGCCTCCGTGTGGCTGGTAACAGGGTCTGGGAAGAGGTTGTAACCTGGAGCAGGAGTGTAGGAGGGGGTTCAGGGATTTGGACTATAACCAGGGACAGTGGATTGGGGTGCAAGGTCTGGGAGGGAATTGGGGCATAGAGGAAATGCAGTGTATGGGAAGGTCTATGGCAGCGTTTCCCAAACTATGGAAAAAAATACCAGGCCTCCGTGTGGCTGGTAGCTGCCAGAAGGGGAGCAGAGTGGAGCAG